AGGATCTTGACATACTTGAACATTGGGCACTATCTAATAAAATGAAATTCAATGGTGAAAACAGTAAGGTTCTACATTTAGGCAAGAAAAACGAAATGCACAGATACAGTATAGGTGTGGTACCTTGCTCAAAAGTAGTAACTGTGAGAGGGATCTTGGAGTCCTAATGGACAACCATTTTAATATGAGCTAGCAGTGTGCAGCGGCTGCCAAACAAAAAAAAAGCCAACACAGTTCTAGGCTGCATAAACAGAGTGATAGAATCAAGTTCATGTGAAGTGTTAATACCACTTTATAATGGTATAATTGGTAAGGCCACACTTGGAACGGTTGCAGGAATTGGGTATGTCTAGTTTAATGAAAAGAAGGACTAGGGGAGACATGATAGCAGTGTTCCAATATCTCAGGGATTGCCACAAAGAAGAGGGAGTCAAACTATTCTCCAAGGCACCTGAGGGTAGAACAAGAAGAAATGGGTGGAAATTAATCAAGGAGAGAAGCAACTTAGAACTGAGGAGAAATTTCCTGACAGTTAGAACAATTAAACAATAAACAGTGGAACAGCTTGCCTCCAGAAGTTGTGAATGCCCCAACACTGGAAGTCTTTAAGAAGATGTTGGATTGCCATTTGTCTGAAATGGTATAGAGTTGGACTAGAAGACCTCCAAAGTGCCTTTGAACTCTGCTATTGTATTGTATTGTACACCAGGGAAGGCCCATCTTCTAGTTCTCACCATTCGACACTCTTAGGCAAACAGGACCTGCAACATGCCCTATCTCTTAGATCAGGGGTATCAGGGGTGTCAAACTCATGTCGTCATGGTGGCATCACGTGATGTATCGGGACTTTACCGCCTTTGCTAAATTGGGCATGGGCGTGGCCAGCGCATGACGCATCTGGGCTGTGGGCCAGGAGTTTGACAGCCCTGTTTTAGATCAAGTTGGACAAACTCTTGGAAAAAGATGGTTCTGGCCAGAAAGGCTGTTTTAGATGGACATGCTCAAAGACTAGTAAACATGTAGAAGATTTATGTTCAGATCATTTGTCTATTTGTTAAGGCTCCACATTACAATATGTTTGCTTGCTTGTGTTCCTCCTTTATTATTTTTACAAATAACTCAAACAGTGAATGTATCCAATACACCTTCCACCTCCTCTTTTCCTCACAACAACAACTCTGGGAGCTGAGAGAATGATTGGCCCAAAGTCAACCAGCTGGCTTCTATGTCTAAGACAGGACTTGAGCTCACAATCTCCCGTTTTCTAGCTGATGGTCAATGGTGTTGTTTTTCCAATGAAATATAGAAATAAAGTTTGGTTAAGCAAATGCCTGCGTGGAATGCATTTAATTGGCTACAAATTCTTTAAGCAAATGGTAGACGGTAGATCTGGAGTCTCCTATAATACGTTGGGAAGTCCTTTGTCCTGCCTGGCCTACATTGTTTCCATGTAACATTGTTTCTAGTTGAATTAATTTAATATCCATCGTGCTACACATTTTGCATCAAGAGAAGAAGAAAAAAGAAAATGTTCCCTATTTTATTTGACGTTTGATTGCAAGTCCATATAAATGTTAGGTTAAGAATACTGTCCACTTAGAAATCAATGTCTCTTATAACATATTCTGCCCTCCATTAAGATAATGTATAATTATTTGCAAAAAAATAGAATGTTAAACAATATTCTCCTTCTGAGTTTTAACAAATATGTCTTCTTTCAGATTATCCATTTCATTTCCTATTGTCCTCAATGGTACTCTGTTTCTTCTTTAAGTTATTTTGATGAGTGTGTGGGTGACTGTGTTTATGTTTGTTATTCAAATATAACTGTTAACTATGGATTCATATTGTAGGGTAGATTGGACAACAGAAAAGTAATAGTATGTTTCATATCTGAAACAATGCATGAGTCTGTCTAAAATAGGGTATGGATCAGAAGTGGTATTCAGCAGGTTCTGACCAATTCTGGAGAACCAGTAGTGGAAATTTTGAGTAGTTCAGAGAACCGGTAAAAACCACCTCTGACTGGCCCCGCCCCCATCTATTCTCTACTTCCGGAGTTCCAGCTGATCGGGAGGAAATTGGGATTTTGCAGTAGCCTTCCCCTGGAGTGGGGAGGGAATGGAGATTTTACAGTATCCTTCCCCTGCCACATCCACTAAGCCACACCACGTCCACTACCGGTAGTTTAAAAAAAAAATCCCACCACTAGTATGGATAAACACTATTCAATTCAAGGTTTAAAATTACTTACCGTAGCTTTAGCACCAATTATTATCTTTGCTATAGAATGGAGAATTGTGGGACTTTGACTAAGCAAAGGAACTGCTGGGCTCAGATTTGCTACCTCCTAAAGTACTCTAGTCATTTAAATAATGGGCCCCTGACTATCACTGTATGATTTAACAAAGGAGAGATTAAAGGTGGCCCAACTTGATGTATCTCTCATTCAAAACAGATATGCTTTGATTAGTGTCACCTTTGAACACAAAATGTGAGCTGCACACTACAGTGTTTACAAGATTATATAATGCAGATAGCACAGTGACCAAAAGAGTAAGTTCATATTTCCATAAATTTATGTGGTCTGAAATTGTTTTATATTGAATCTGCCTTTTAGCATGTGGTACATGTGTGTAAAATAAGTAACTTATGTTTTCAGAAAACCCCACATCAATCCCCCACGTGGGTCTTCATATGGCTTATGCACCTGCCCTCAATCATTGGGGTGTGCCACCCATGGCAATGACTGATACCCACTGGGGCTCTATCCAGAGAGCAAAGAGACTTGTTTTTCTATTTACTTTCTCAAAAAAGGCTGTAATGACATGAATTTACATGTGGAGAATCTCACAGATAAAAGAACTTTTCACACAGGAGGAAAGGGGTAAATGTTTGGGAAGAGGTAAATGTTTGGCAACTTTACAGAGCAGCTCTTTTCTCTGTCCCATGTAAGTGTATTCTCTACTGCTGTTATGATGTTTTTTTAAAAAAATATATTATTGAGAAGACAAAAGAGTTTCCCAAACATTTGGTAAGCCACAATTCCTTAGCTAAAATTTTTATTTGATTTGATAGGTCACAAGTTGTGGCAGCATACACTAATGTAAGTCAGCTCTGTGTGCCAGATTGCACTTTATCCTTCAAATGTACCAGCTCTGGCAATGGTGCAAATAAGCAAATTGATTTATGTGCAAAGAGTCATCCAGAACACATTAGGCATTTCTTTAAATGTGCAATATTTCCCCCCCCCCAAGTTCAGCATGTTTTATCTTCTGCATACATATCAAAAACATCAGCTAACTTTCCATANAAAACCTGGCTGTGCCGGCAGGCCTGGGGTTGATGAGTTCCCCTCCCCTCTCGACCTGTGTGGCTGTATGATTCTTGTTTATTTTAATCACGTGTATTGTGTTCTATGTTCCCCTTTCCCCCCTTTGAGTTGTTCGCCACCCTGAGTCCCTCCCGGAGAAGGGCGGCATACAAATAAACTAAATCTTAATCTTAATCTTAATATGCAGGACTACTTAAAAACAAAATTGAGTTTGACAGAGTTCAATGGAAGTCATTCTCAGATGACATATTTTCTTATTATCAGATATAATAATAAAGAATGGATAATTGCCCCAATACTCTCGTTTCCACGATAGAAGCCTATTCTGAATTAAAGTGTTTTCCTTCAGGAGGAGCCAAGGTGGCCCAGTGATTAGAGTGCAGTACTGCAGGCTACTTCAGCTGACTGCTAGCTGAGTTCGGCAGTTCAAATCTCACCGGCTCAAGGTAGACTCAGCCTTCCAACCTTCTGGGGTGGGTAAAATGAGGACCCAGATTGTTGGGGGACAATATGCTGACTCTGTAAACTGCTTAGAGAGGGCTGTAAAAAACACGGTGATGTGGTATGTAAGTGCTGTTGCTATAGCTTCAGTGAAGGAACACCAGATGAAGCAGGATGAATTGTGAAAATGTTGAGATTTGCAGTTCAGGAACATCTGGATTGCATGGTAATACCAGGCTACAAACTTTGACCCAAAACTGAACTCACTGAATACACACAGTGCTCCACTGTAAGTATATTTCTATTCCTGTACTTCTATACTTTTAAAGTGCTATTGCATCACTTTTCAATAGTGCTGAAAAGGAAATGGAAAGGAGAATAAATAATTGACAGCAGAGGGAAAGAATTACAAATTCAACAAAACCAAATAAGGAATGATGAACTTACGAGGCTTCTATCACCACAGCCACTCCAACAGGTTTCAGAACCTCAGTAATTGCTAAAGCAATCTGTTTTGTAAGTCGCTCCTGGACTAGAAATCAATTAGTGTTTTATGAAAAATTATGTTAGTCAGAATGAATTTACAAAGTAAACACGAAATTGTTCATTAAGGATAAGGTATACAGTTCACCCTGAACTAAGTCAGGTCAATATTTCTTCAAAAAGAAAATTTAATCCAATAAAAGAGAAAACTGTGAAGGAAGGGAAAGACTTCTCTTCTTGCACATTTTGTCGGTGAAAACAAAGCTCAACTATTTCAGTTGCTGTCACAAATTTTGAGTTTTTCAATAAAAGTAATTATTTATTTAAACAATTTATATGGATCCCCCATCCTGTGGCATACATATCTGTATGGCTAACAATAATAAAACACAAGCAATGAAATCAATACAAAAATTAAATATCTCTGGAACCTTTGCCATGGGTTAGCACAAGTTTATGTCCTGCCTAAGTTATTTGTTTTTGGAATGAAAACTTGAGTTTTCAGTTTCTTTGCACACAGATCCACTTCTGGATTTTCCTCCAAACAGGCTAATTGGAGAATTTCTCCTGGTCAGATAAAGTTGATGATCTTTTCCAGAGACCCGTCCATGGGTCCTGGTCTGCCTCTAGCCCATCCTGCTTTATGAATTGAAGAATTTATTAAGCAGAGCAGAGTGCCAGAAAAAGTACTAACCTTGGAGCCTTCTGCTAAACATTTCAACAATTCTGGAAAAAGGAGAAAAAAGATGCATTAATGAGAGAAGGATTGATGGAAATGCAAATCAGAAAGTGATTGCATTTGTTTATACTTGATCTCTATCAGTCAATGGAAAGGAAATTTGTTACTCCAGCATCATTATGATTTTTATGCTATTACGTAAAATGTAATCATTTAAAGTGGAAGTTAAGTTATATTTTGAAAAAATTCTGACTAAACATGATCATAACAAAGAAATCAAGTAGATGACAGAGCAGTTTAAGAATAAGAATAGAATGCAGTTGGATGTCTTCTAGTCCAACCCCTTGCCTAGGCAGGAAGCCCTATACTTCAGACAAATCCAACATCTTCTTAAAAACTTCCACAACTTCTGGAGGCAGGTTGTTCCACTGATTAATTGTTCTAACTGTCAGGAAATTTCTATCATCTCAGATGATGGTCATCCATTATTTTTATCTTGGTGATATCTCAGTGTGAAATATATGCCCAATCATGTTTTCTGAGTGCAGAGTTAAAACTCATCAATATTTCTCCTGGCTCCTGGCAGCTGATAGCTACAGTTCAATGTCTTAAATTCCCTACAATGACACTATAGCTCATTTTCCTGAATGAATGAGTGCTTGAAAATGGGTAAAGAATAAAGCTATGCATAGTTGGGCTGTGCAAGTTCTTCAAATTTGAAGGAAAAATGGAACTTCTGAGAACATGGGTGCTCAAATATCAACTGACAATTATTCCTTAAAATAGCTACATTTTTTCTTGCAATTGTATCTGTCATTGGCTGTCATCTATCATCAGTAACAGTGCATTTCATAGCTCAACTATGAAATAGTTGTGTGTGATGAAATATTGTGTGATGTACAGTATTCCTCCCCAGTATCTATACCCATTTACCTTTATGGATATTTCAAACAAATGTCATATCTAATAGCTATTCCTTATAAAGAAAATCAGACACATACCGTAATCAAAACTATCTGTTACTGTTGCCTTATTGAAAAGTGATTTATTACTCAGAAGAAGAGTAATAAATACCTTGCAAGTTTGCTTAATCCAACAACTTTTTTTCTTGGTAAATACCCAATGTGCACCTGCAGATATTAAAGGAAGATGAAAAATTATTAATATGTGCATTAATATATTAATATTCAATCCATGACTGCCTCCATTTCATACTATGAATATTTTTTCGGTTGAACTGAGATCGGTTTTCCACCCACAGTTACTGTTGCACTCTACATTCAATTTCTCAGCATTACAGTGAAGAAGAAGCTGAATATGTAACTGAAGCCTATTAATTTCATCTGGAAAAAAATGTTGCTGATACTGCTATAGAAAATTAGTAAAATGGATTATTACTCAGTTATTCTGCAAGGCATGTTACAAATAGCAACAAATTTGTTCCACTGATTACATGGTTCAAGATTATGGACATAGAATTCAACATGAATCAATCTTTCCACCGTCATTACCTTGCCAAAGAAAGGAACCAAGTGATGTTCACAAAGAGAAAACATATCAATGCCCTTTACGATAACCATCTCATCATGATCTTCATCAAAAACAGCATCATTGAGTATCTCTGGAAAAGAAAGAAATGGAAGAACATGATTTCTCAATCTAAAGTTTATCCTTTACTGTAGAATAACTAAACAAATAAACTGCTCTGTAGCAACTTGCTAGATTCTTTACAAACTATTTTTTCTTGTTCCTATCAACACTTTATTTGGGTACTTCAAGACAGACTATGGCTGTTCTGGGTAGAACCCAATATGCATGAAAAGATAAGTGAGGGTAACCCATTTGCTAACATGTTTGGTAAAAGGAAGAATGCAAGTGGGACTTTATTTCGGTGACCCCCTCTTATGGAATAGTTTGTACCTGAAAGCAAATGGTCCTTCTCTTACAGCCTTCCAAAAACTTGTTAAAACATGATTAATTCAGAAGGCCTTTGTACATATAAGATTTTGTTGTTAAGAAAGATGCAGCACCTTAATATTGGATCAGCATACTAGAATTATGTATTGTTTATACTACTTATTTTGTTATTTATACATATATTGTATGCCAGTATTTTGACTGCAAATTGTGTAGAAGTGATTAAAATGAAGTAATAAAAAAATTCCACAAATAAAGGAAAAGAGGCAATGGCAAAGTTTGATGACTTTTACCCATCATCAAACTGAACCTGGACTTTGGAATTATTGTCAAAAAAAAACCTATACAAAGACTATGCATATACAGTATATAATCATCAGGAGACTTATATTCAGTTGTATCTAACAAAATTAATAATTTCTTAAACTATGATATCTACCTTATCTCTATATATAAAAGCCAAATACCACTCACTCATCACAAAATCTCCAGAACCATAAAGCCTAAAAACTTGAAATTTGGCATGTATGTTCCTCTTGGCTTCTACATGTTTGCTAAGAAAGGATTTTTCAAAATGACCATCAGATCATTATTATTTCTTTTACAGAAATTAACACGCTCTGATGCTAAGGAGTTCTACTCCCCCTCCCCACTTGAAAAGAACTCTGTTTCAAATGCCAGTTACCTCACATTCCATTACCTCAGTTCAAACTGGCAGACGTTCCCCTCCTTCACTCAGGAGCGGTCTGGGCTCCTTATAGTACTAAACATCAGTACCTCACCAACATGTCTACGCCTTCCACCTATGGTGCGTCTGGACTCAAGGCAGCGGGAACAATATTCCCTTATGTGTTTCAATCACTGACCACCACTGAGCCAAAGGATTGAACCAGATTGAACTGGATTGAACCGGATTGAACCGGATTTATCCTGCATTGCCCGATCACATAGTTTCGTCACGAAGCACGGGTATCCAGCTGGTTAAGTATAAATGACAAATCATCAAGTCCACGCTGATTCTGAAGTAGTAATATAGTAAAAGCCAGATCTAGAATAGAAAACTGCAAGACACAGTTTGCTATCCCAACAAAAGTCATTCAAATACATCATAAACGATCTTCAGCCATTCCTGTTATGATCCATATATTTGCTTACAGGCAGCTGTCTGATCTAAAAGAGTTATTAACAATCAGCAATTGACTATTACACCCTGACAAAGATGCAGGAACCAAATGCTGTGGTGAATCCAGATCTCAACTCTGCCTCCTCCATATTCTGATGATTAACTGTATCCCTGCATCAAAGGCACATTTACCTGTCCATCCTTCAACATGGTATATATGCCATCATCTATAAGTAAGAACTCACTCCTATTGACTGGACAAATTACCCAATTTCTACACAAAAGAATGAATGCAATATGTCATCAATGGCAATATTCAAAAATCAATGTGACTGCTGCAATTCTCACCCTCTGAGAATTTGCTGCTGATCTCAAAGCAAAAATTAATGAGAAAGAGAATCATAATTTCAGCACCAAACAGCAGAGTTAGAACTGATTAGAAGATGTAACTGTTTCTCAAGGACTGGACAAAGTTTGTCTCATAGTTACTAACTAGCTACTTCATGAAATAACATCTGGACCAAACCCACTGCTCCTTTGTGGTAATTAAATATGATCTTTACTGTCTTTCTTTTTCCTATATTCCTCTTCCCACCCTTGATTCTCTTCTTTCCAACAACAGCAGAGGAGGGAAAAACTATTTTTTGATAGAAAGCAAGATAATTCAGGGGAGATGATTTCTCCAGCATCCTATGGGTTGGCTGACTATGTTGCCCATTCTGCCTTCTCAAAAGACTGATGGCCGATTTTCATGCAGTGATAAACAGGAAGTGCAAAGTGGCTTATATAAATGCTCAGATAAATTTCAGGTACAACTAAAATTACTCAAGTCTCCAATCACTTTCCCAGCATTATGGTGAGACAATCATTTACCAAGAAAGACTGAGGTTGCAGCTTAAATATACTGATTGGATTCACAAATTGCACAAAGTTATAATGCAGCTCGTTTGTCTGTGACTGGGAATGAATCCAAGCAAATATAATCAATTCAGCAAACCATGCTTAAGCAAATTATGATTTAGAAAGAGGTACAAACTTAGCCACTTTTCTAGGAACGAAAATCTTTTGATGATAGTATGGCTTCTGAATTAGAAGAGACCTATCCCTTAAGGTATATGAAGTAATTTTTGTGTTTCAGTAGAAAATTGGCTGGAACCATATGCACACTCTCTTAAATGAGATGCACCCATTTGATTTATACTATATACATTTATTTTTTGATAGGTAGGATTAGCAAAGCATCAATCTTAACTGGGCTGTTGTTTATTTAAATGCAATTTCAAATCATGGGATAGTGGGTTTTTCATTTTACACGTCATATAATTCACATTTGAAAAAGATTTGGGGGACTAGGATCTAGAATCAATTTCTACCTGAACTTTTTCCAAGACTATTTCTAGAAGCCATTCTGCTAAAAGCACTTTACTTTCATCCTGCCTGAAAAGGGCACTTTAAAACTCCCTCTCAGACCCTGTAGAGATGGAATTGAAATTAGGACTAGTTCGACGTCCCTTGGAAGGAACCGAAGCCCTCTGTCCTAGAATGGACTGAAAGGAGCGACTCACCTTCGGCCGTTTCATAGTAGCCCTTGGTGAGAAACTGCATGGCTTTGGCCGCCCTCCGAGGCGTCAGCAACAGCCCTTCCCTCCCGGGGTTTTCGCCCAAACCCTGGAGGATGGTGGCGTAGGCGGCCTCCAGCACCGGGAATTGCTCCAGTTCTTCCGCTTCTCGGTGGCCATTCTCATCCAGGGCCGGACGCTGGAACTTCAGAGACGTTCTCCGTATCTGGCCGCCGCTCGGCACTTCGAAGAGGCAGCTGGGATGCAAGTCCCCGTTTTGGTAGTCCAGCAGCTTCAGCTGGAGCGGTTCCATAGCCCGGCGCTCGCGGCGGACGCGCGGCAGGGACCGGGAGCGAGGAGGGAAGAGCAGCGGAGGCAACGACACCCGTGGTTTGGGGCTGCCTCGGGGTTTGCCACCGCGGGCGTCGGTCGGAGGTGGCGTGTGTGCGTCTAGGACAGGTGAAGGGGAGGAAGAGATTCAAAAGGGTTGCAATGGGGTTTGTGAAGAGAAGGCTGCGTCTGTCTGTCTCTCTGTCTCTCTATTCTTCCCGAGGCTTCTGGTATTTATTGCGCCCCTCGATCTTGTTGATCGGCTCTTCTCCGTCAGAGGAGGTCATCTTGGGATTGTCAGATGGGCGAGATGGACTAAGGCGCCCATTGTCTCCTGGCGCCCACCCTACTCCTTCTTGCTCTAATCGGAGGAAACGAGCCTTGGTCACGAATATTAGTTACGCCGGGCACGCGGATCACCCACGCAATCTTTCGCCTCCTACCGGCCAGCAGTCTCCCCCCCCCTCCTTCCCTCCGTCGTCACAACAGCTCTTCCATCCTTCCCTCTCGAGGTTTTTATCTCCATTGCTGAGCTCCAACGTGCTGACAAGGCCTGCAATGGCCTTGGCTTGCAGAGCAGCAATTCACATCGTAGGCTTCGCATCGAAGGTGCTTGAAGCTGGGATGAAGTCCGCGTCCGATGCATGCATTACCTACTGGGCGGATGGAGGAGGCTCGTGNCACCATCCCAACTGGAGATCCAGTTCCAGTCAGGTGCAGAGGTACAAAAACAAAGGATGACCTTGGCTTTCTAGAAAGAATTTTGTTATGGCTCCATACCATCTAATTCCATACAATCCCCTCTCCCATTTTCCCACAATAGAAAATGCATAGTAGAATAATAGAAAGTATGGCAGGCCTAAGAGCCACAAGAAAATATACAGTAGCTGCGGGCCTGACACAGAGCTTTTATCCAACAAATCGCATTCTGCAACATCTTCTCTGTTGCCATTTCCACCATCCTGGCTAAAACAGTGATGGTGGTGTTAGCATTCTTGGCCACAAAACCAGGGAATGAAGTACAGAGTTGGCTAGGGAAAGGGCCTGGAGACTAAAACGTATGAAGAACAGTTGCAGAAATTTGGTTTCTAGAGAATCTAGAGAAAAGAAGAACATGATAGCAATATTCCAGTATTTAAGGGGTTGCCACAAAGAAAATTGGGTTATCAACTTATTTTTCAAAGCACCAGAAGGCAAGACAAAAAACATTGGATGGAAACTGAGAGAAGTTAGCTGGAATTAGGAGGAACTTCCTAACAGTGAGAACAAATAACCAGCTCATCTTCAGAGGTTTTGAGTGCTTCATCACTGCAGGCTTTTAAGAAGAGATTAGACAGTCCCTTGTCTGAAATGGTGTAGGGTCTCCTACTTGAGCAGGGGGTTGGACTAGAAGACCAATTCCAATTCTTTTCTGATATTGATTCTGTATTTCCTATTGTGTGCTTGCTTATTTCTTTCTCTCCAATGTGCATTAATATCAACAGTTCCCATTGCTAGTTATCCCTGAACGGAATTGATAATTCCAAAGAGTGAGAGAATGGGGAAAAGGGCTGTAGGATTTGCCCCTTTTTCCCAGCTTCCTTGTGAGTCAATTTCTGAAACATTTATCTTCCCCACTGTTGGGGTTTGCCCAAATGATTAAGATCATGTCCTCCAGATGTTGTAAAGTGTTTAGGGGCAATTGCTTAATAAAACTTTTAAAGATTGATTAAAAGTGGTGGCATCTCTCTGGATATTTCTCCTTCTTTGGTACCCATCCTGCAAATTCTAAATTGAGTGCTGACACATAGAATAATGGAAAAAACTGGAGCTGTGCGCAGAATTTTAACAAAATGATAGTGATTTATTTAATGTTTTTCCATCTACTCTCTAGGGACATTTCCAACTCTCAACATAAACAACAAACTAAGAAACAACACAAAGAGATTGTGTGAGAAAGGTCAGAAACATAAATCCNGAAAGACATTGATGACTGACTGTCTTATCCGTGTATGACTTGGACTGTTTGATGGACTCTGATACCTCTATTTCCATGAAAGTAAAAGCCTATTTAAACTGCAGTGTCTCTGTATGCTGGTTTGTGTTTTCTCCAACACAACTCTCACAACGCTTCGCTGAATGTACTTGCTCCCCCAACAGGGAGCTTCCCTAACAAATGTTTTCTATTATTCAATTGTCATATGGTGTCAATGCCATTTATTGTTTGATTAGTTGCCTTGTGATGTATCAGATACACCAAATGTATGTAGCCTTCAGTTCTGTAGCCTATGAAAAGACTTCACACACACACACACACACACACACACACACACACACACACCTTAATAAAGACTTTTCACGCTGTCTGTATTGCCTCTGATTCATATTATTGGGGGGAGGGGGTTTGTGAAAAAGCCACTTTTGGAAAAGGTAAAAAAGTTTTTCTCTCTCACATTCATGGAAATTGGTTTCATCAGTTCCATGCCAAACTCAGGATGCCTGAATTTCTAGGCAATAGTAGGAGGGAAAAGGTGAAACACAATAAGTGCATCTGTGCCCTAAGGTTGTGTTGTATTGTGCTCTGTTGTATTATTATATTATTATTTTTATTTTTTATTCATTTTTTAATTTCATTTATATTTATATAGCCACCTATTCATTCAAAGTGACTCTAGGCAGCTTACAAACAATAAAAACACAGCAGAGGAAAATAATAACAAAAACATAATAACACCCCCCAGATGACAACACATGGTTAAAGAAACCTTTTGATGGGCTCCATCGCAGTCTGGGTTCACCAGACCCGCTGGTGAAACCACCTCTTCAGGGCCTCACAAAAGAGTATCAAAGTGGGGAGCAGTCTAATTTCTGAAGAGACGATGTTCCAAAGGGGAGGAGCCACCATGGAGAAGACCCATCTTCTGGGTCCCATCAGATGTAACTCTTTAGGGGATGAGACCCACAATATTCCTTGACTCCCCACTCTAGAGGGTTGGATGTCAGACCTGGAAGCCATCTTTTACATTAGGCCTTCAGGCCTGCTACATTTTCTATTGTGGGGAAATGGGGGGAGGGATTATATGGAGTATGGGAAATATATAGTCTAAATAACATTCCTTTCTCAGAGAGTCAAGGACATCTTGACCTGCAGATGAAATGGATCTCCAGTTGGGATGGTGCCTGATTGGACTATGTAATGGACATGTGGGTGCTGGGCAAGGACTTGAACTTTCCCTTGGGTGGGGAAAACCTGGAAGATTTCAGATTTGGGTTTTACCAGATGTACCAATATGACATCTCTAATAAAATTTGAGGAAACTCAAGTCTTGGAGTCTTCTTTCATTGGGGGTGTTACTTGGAACCCTGACATTGGGTGGATATGACCGGCAAAAGATGGTCCCTCAGATAGGAATAAAAGGAATGTGATTAAAGGAGATGCTATTAATTTTTTAAAATATTTTTATTTTATTTTTATATAAACAATCCATTTCCATTAACCAGTATGTCATCTGAGTACAAATATTTTGTGCCAACCTTAAAATATACCATCATATTCATTATTTAATGTCATCTTGGCTTAATTTCCAATACCTTAAGTATCTAATATTATAACAAACCCATTGTAATTCATTTAACTCTAATAGTTATATTGACTATTAATACATTTCTTATACTTTAGATAGCTTCTTTTATTATTAATTATTAGGTCTATTCTCTAACCACCGGTGAAAAGATTCTCAAATTGTATAATCATCAGTTTGTTCTTTCTCTTTGATAGCCAGTGTCAATCTGTTCATTTCTGCGCATTCTAATATTTTCCTAATCACATTCTCCTCGGTAGGGAGCTCTTCGCTTTTCTAATTTTGTGCAAATACAATCCTAGCTGCTGTTATAACATGGATCATCAAGTATACATTATAATTTTCTGGTAAAATCCCCAGCAAAAATATTTCAAGTTTTAAGTCAATATGTGGTTGTATCGTCTTTCCCAGCCACATATGTATTTTAGTCCAACATTTTTTGTGGAGGTCCACCACATATGATAGTACAAGCCTGTGTCTGGTGGTGATTAGAGTATGTTGATGTTTCTTTTAAGCTGCATGTTGACATTTCGTTGACAATTTGCAGGAGAGAAATTGAGAACATGAAAAGAAGCAAAGGGCTTTTAATATTATTTTAAAAGCTTATTAAGAAACTGCCCTTAAAAACTTACATCAAGAGGATATTACCCCAATCAGCTGGATGAACTCTAACAGTAGGAAAGGTTCTGATTCCAGAACTCAATTCATGAAAAGGCTCAGGAAAAGGGACACATCTTATAGCCTTTATTAAGCCCATAGTAAGATGCCACTCTTATTATGGCCATGCTGAAAATCTTTCTGAATTCCGGATTTTTGATGGGTGTTTTAAAACAGATTTGAGCCAAACTCTCCAGTTTCCCATCTTGGCACATCTTGTGAATCTCCATTAAATTCCAAGGAACTCCTGTAGTCAAAAGAAACAATTGGGATCTCTCCTACAGCCTCCTAATTGCCCTCCTGCTTTCCTTTTTGACCTCATTCTTATTTATAGGCCAGTCAGGGTTCCAAATAGCATCCAAAAGTCAATCAGAGTCCAAGGTAAAGTATTGTTCAAAGTTCCAATTTATTAAGAGAGCCATGTGGGCACATCTGGGGAAACCCGAATCTGAAAGCTTCCTGGTTTTCCCCACCCCACCCAGTTAAAAGTTCAAGATCTTGCCCACACACCCATCACATGGTCCAATCAGNATCATTCAGGCTGTCTTGAAACATCTCTAGCAAAGGACTCAACTACCTTCTGAGGTGGCCTTTTTCAAAGTTGGACAGCTCCTACACTAGGACATCCAGCTGAAATCTTCTCCACTGTAAGCTTCTTATTTTGTCTTCTGTCCTGTCTTCCATAGGCAGTCCCTCATGCAATGGTGCCTATAATCTTCTTCATCCAAGCTAACAGACCTAATACCTTCAACTGTTTCCAGCCTTTTATCATCTTGACTTGCTCTCCTCTAGTTTGTCAATGTCCTTCCAAAAATTTAGTGTCCAATATTTAGCTGCCCTCTGACCAAACAGAATGAAAGGGAACCATACCTTCTCTTGACCTTGCC